CACAAGCACTGATGATGTCACCTCGGCTGGTGATGAAACGTTTGCAAACAAATTGCCAAGCTCGGCGAACAGGCAAAATGGAATGAATAAGCTTTCTAAATCCAAAACGAACGTCCGCGGGTAAGGGGATTTGGCTGGTATGAGTACTGTTAAGTTCAAGATGTGCTTTTCATTCGTCAAATGTGTGACTGTATCAACCGAAATTCGCGGTTCGCTCTTTGCTAGTGTTGTGCCCGAAAAGATGTTGCTGCAAAGTGGTCATCAGTACATGTACCAACGGGAACTCTATTCCATCATATGTCGGTTAATTTGCCTTCTGGATATCCACCCATCGACTTGAGTTCATTTGATTTGAATTTGGGAGATATTCTGTGACATCCAAGAATGAATTCGGATATTATCCTTCATTAATCTTATGTTATTATTTGTGAGTGATCAAACTATATTCATAATACAACTTAAATAACCTGAGAAGCGGTGAAAGAATACAAATTCAGTCCCATCGTTTTGGCTGACACTAGAGTCGGCGGCTCGATAAAGTTGCACCGATGAATGTAAATACTCCTCCAAAGCGGGGAGTTTGTAATCTTGATACTTGACGGCTTAAATACTTTGTTTAATTCATTTTCAATGGTCAGTCAGACAAATCGCAAAGAGGGAAATCAGAACATTAATTGGAAGCTATTGAACTTCATGTTTTATGATCTTGCACCAATACGGAGATTGACAAGCTCCTGCTTATGTTTTCTATCAAGAATTTCATCTATGCATAAAAACAACCCCGTAATTTTCAGTAAACACGAGTGATGGTGCAACTGGTTGGTTATTTTCCAGAGAAGCGGCAGTTATTTTAGCCGAAGTCAAAGAAAAACTCAGTGTATGGTGATCGATTTTCGATTAACCATGGTAAAACTGTGAGTTTGAACTTTCATATTGATGTGCAATACTCTAAAACCATTTTGATTTTCTCCCTCACATGATACTGGTTAAGAATTTGTCTAAAAGATATAGAAAGTCTATGCCAGTGTGGGCGTTTTTGTTGAAGTCATTGAAATCATTGTTAAGATACCATATTTGGATTTGGTATTGAGAACACAAATACCTTGCAGTGTGAATATTTGATGTTTCTTTATAGGTGGTAGACTTTGTGCACTTCCTTTTGCTTCCTCTCCTTCCTAGTGTGTATTTAATTAGCATTTTTAGAAGGCAAATCGGCAATGTGTGAAAAAAGCTGTCAATAACCCAAAAATATTCGCCTCAAGGCCCCCACCTCTCCAAAGCAATACAAGTTTCCTATGAATCTTCAAGATCTAATAAGAAAATCCATTGGTGCTAAAAGAGAAAAGTTCTTGGCATCTAAAACCCACTTGAAAGAATTCACTCAAGTAGGGTGAAAAATCGTCAATAAACATCCAGATTGATTTCAACTGTTTTTGTCCCTGGACACCACAGACGAGTTATTCGAATACATTCAGATCAATGGGTGCCATCTCATGCAGTGTTGATGTGAGACTAACGCCTACTGTCGTGTGATACCGAACCGGACCCGAAAGGAATGGGTGTTGGAGATTAAGCCACCCCAAGCTCGATAGGTACGCTCTGATCATGACATTCACCAGTCAAGGTGAGCGCGATTTTCTGAAGAATATCTTACGCACCCAATAGCTTAAAGCGGTTAAAAAGGTTGGAGTTGGGGCAAAATGTAACATAAAATACCCAAAAATCGCGGGAAATTTCTCGTTTTGCATATGGTGGGTGGACTGTGCCACAAAACCCCCGGAATCATCCTGCCTTCTTGGCATTTAATTGACACCTGGTCACCGGCAGGCAGAATCGTAGCGAAACATGTGAACTGTCCAAAATCAGCTAATTTATGCAAAGATCACTAGATCCGTTAGATTGAATACGTATCCGAGGTGAAAAGATTCGACTGCGTTGGGGAGCATCCAAAAATGAATAAAACTGGTCAGAGGAAGCAATCTTAGGAAGCGGCAAAGGGTCAGGAAAATGATATAAGAAACCAGTGGGGGCATCTTGAATGATGAATGAAGCACTTAGAGGCACTATTCAATTGGCTCTCTTTGCACCCAATCAATCAAGAAAAAGAACAGTAAAAGAGGTTTTCTGCAAGAACGTTTAACATCTGAGACACTGTAATGCACTTAAGTTGAAAGAGCACATTCTGAATTCCAAAACAGCCCTCGTTCTTCTTGGTGAACGAGCAATCAGTGGCTATCCTTATCGGAAAAAGAAGCTTGCTCGACTATGGCACGGAATACGGGGCTGTAAGCTTCACTCCATCACGCTTGCAGTTTGAATCCGGCCTTACCGCGAAGACCTAACAGCCACGCGCAGACAGCTAACTCGGGAGAAACTTGATGGGTTTCCCACCTGTCGCCGAATCTTGATACGCAGACAGATAATTCAACATTTGCACGTGTTTCAAAGGTCATTATCAAAGTGCTTACAACATCCGGGCATTCTTTGACTTATTTGTAGAGCTGTGCGTTAGAATTGTTTTTTTTTTGGGTGGGTGGGGGTAATAGAACAGTCAAGAAACATATTTCTATCCTCAAAATGCTTCACAAGCACATCAGGTCTAGTTAGAATGTACAGCCACTTCAAAAGAGCATAAACAAGTTGATTCAGCTCAACACATTGAAATTCGCACTGATCGCCTTTTTTCAATTATCTTCAAATTCAAGTATAATAGAAATAATCCGAACTAAAATTGAAGTAGTATGTCGTTCCGAGGAATCCCATCAGATTCTACAGAGAGAATGTGAGCATCACATTTCAGGTTAGTGATCCAATCTTTACTCAAAATGCATTGGGACAACATTCTGGTGAACCACATCTTCTAATTGAATGCACATTTCCCTTCGAACATGCAAAATTTTCCTGCTTGCTAGTTTATACAATTCAAAACTAAATTCGAAGCCTGTAAGTAACAACTCACTTTGGGGTAAATCTTCCGCCTTGTATAGACGTATCTTAAGCACGGCAGGTCGTAGCTGTACACCGGCTGGTCGTAAAAGGTTCCTGTCAGATAATGGTCACCAATGTGGCTGCAAGCGGGGATTTGGAACTTACGCTTCGATATCCTGCTCATCAGAGTCATCCACTTTCATGCTCTACAAGCAGTCGTAGTACATGATTGGGAGTCAGATGATGATGACAGCGGGTGAGCAGGTGCCCAGGTGGGGAGGGAGGGAGAAAGAGCAGGACAGATGGGGACAATAATCGGCTTCGGGCATAAAAAGGAATGCCAGAGAGAGAGAGACAGTCGTTCCTGAGAAATTCGTGAATTACAACAACACTCCAAGTCTTCATCACGGGAATTTATTAATTTCTTTTCTCTATTCCTCCACTCAATCAAGATTGGTGAAAGTCACAAGTAAATGTTAGCACGCAACATTTAAAAAGTATGAGTAAATGATTGGGTTTATTGTTTCCACGCTTTGAAATGAGCGACATTTGAATGTTGAACATTTGAATACCACGTGGAGAGTAAGTTGTTGAAACCTATGCAAATTCGCTAAGCTTGATATCACAGTTGAAACATAAGAGCATCTAATGGTGCGATACAGTTCATCACAGTTCATTGTAATTCTGTGCAATTTTTAAAGGTTTAAATACTGTTTGACATCATCAATCGGTAGGTCATCTTAATAGTTGGTAGACTGATCGACTGATTGATTGATGTTATCCCCAAAGATCATCTGTAGAACTAGCTTCTGTTCAAGTCTGTGAGAGGAAATATCCAGTCCCTCAAACTTCACCCCTAGTTGATCAATCTGAACTCACCACGGGCTCATCGCCTGGTCCGAGAATGACGATTGAGATCTTCAAATACCCCTTCGCACCAGACATATGATCTTCCGGGTCACAAAGTAACAGCCATTTGTTGAGCAAAGCATGTCGATCTTGTTCGTAGACCAGAGACAAATCAAATTTGAATGAACCAATCAGAGCATCCTGCCGCAGTTTTTTTGCATTGTACACACTGAACTGAATCATTTGTTCGAACAATTTTGACGGAGCTTCATGGAAATTGAAATAAAAAATCTCATTCCAATAGGGCGAATGCGTGGGGCTTTTCACTCGCGTCTCGCGATTTTTCCCCGCACAATTCACTTTACAAATTGGAGTAATGTTGCCACCTTGGAGTTGACGGGCTTCAATGACTTTCACTCGGATCTGAGTGGAATAGAATTGGACGGGAAAAACACGAATGGGAAGAGCAATTTTTAATTGATAATTTTACTATTCTTTTGGGTGGTTTACTGGATTTTGTCTTTGAAACACACGTGTATCACTAACCATGACTGAAGAATAAAATGTCAATTACAGTCTGCGGTAGCTAGAAAGGGCGGTAAGCGAACACAAAGAAACGCAGCTCGTCCGAACCCCTTTAACAAACAAGTGAAATTCTAACAACCGGAATCATCAGCCGCAAATAGACTGAGTATGCCGCGCAAACACAAGCACTCAGCACCGCATTGTTGATCAAGCTTCGGATGGCCAAATGAATCGGTTATAAATCCCTGTCGAAATTCACCTCTTTTGGTTTGGGAATATTAACAGTATCGGATCGTCGAATGGACCATGGATTTTCGTGATTTAATCTACTCAACACAGACCAAGACAAGAGAGAAATAAATAAATACAATGAAAATAAATACTGAGGCTAACAGAGCGAGTCTCTTGAAAACCGATATTTTATACGTTCATAACACCTATGGAATTGTTCAGTTGGCCAGATGCAAAACATACATAAGCATCTAGAAGTTTCGAACATGCGAACTTAAACACAAGCATACGAAACTCACGAACGCACGCAACCGTTATGAATGGGTGCGTTTTGCCAGTTAGGCAGAAATTAAACGAAGGTAGGAAGCCTTCGGATCTTGGTATCCGCTAGATTTACCCAATAAGTCATCTGTAAGCTAAATGTTTCACTCTGTATCTTTCCCGAAACAGATGAACAGTCGCAATCGATTAATGATACCAAGTAGTCTTAGTATGATCAATGAATCTTGTCTGGACGTATGTGTGAGTTAAAATCCTACCAAGGGATATGAACTTTCAGTACAACGAAATCTTCAAAAGTCGTCAAATCTAATATTGAAAAGGAGAAAATGCTTCAAACAAGCATTTCTTCTAAAATTAACGAAATATACCATCGATCTGAAGTTTGTGAAATTTCCAAGTCAGCTTGTTTCAGCCCAAATAGTAAAGTATTATTTAACATAACAAAATAGCAATATTTGTTCAAATCTAATCGTTAAGTAAATAAAAAGCATCTACTACTACTCCTAGAGTAACTTCCAAAATGGCTGAGATTTTCTTCGTTTTCACCAAGAATCTGCAGATTAGTCACGTCAACATGACAAGTTTTGCATGTTTTAAGAGATCAAAAAACTCTGTTTATTGTTTGGCATTCTTTATTGATCACTGTTGTTCTTTCGGTGTAAGTTTATCCGACTACTCTCCCTGTTTTTCCCTCTTGTTTGCTGAATAAACCATTCTCCCTGATCAACTGAGGTTATTTTTTCACAGCAACCTATTCAATATGTAATGGAGGTGAAGAGCGATTCACAGAGTCCAGAGTACTGTTAAACCATCTAGGGGCTTGGCGCTGAATGAAATAAACCACCTCTGTGGTGGACGCTTCCGTGCACTTGGGCTTCTATTAACCGGTGATTGTGTACGCAGCTGAGCGAGAAATACCCTCGGATACCTATCTAACTATACATTGATGTGATTTTTTATATCACGAAAAATTATTTTATGTTAAGGAACTAGTCCGCATGATAAGATGAGGATCCAGCTTTTGAAATCTGACAGTAGGCGATCCAAAATTGTAATCAATTAGTTAATTAATCAATTGTAATTATTATTACTTCGAGACCTAAAATAAATTGTTAAACTCCACTCCAAAAATCATGATCAGGTACCCTTTGGCATCAAACATTTTTGGTCATTGGAATAGGTTTTCACTTAGCTTGACAAAGACTATCAGACCAGCTGTTTCAGTAGCATCCTTTTGTCGCGCTGGGATCACATGATTGCGGATCGATAAAGAAACGCACCACTTGGCTGTTGTAAATGTCAACGTTGACCTGATTTTTTCTTAACAAAGGAAAACCCGATACTGTTCACAGCAGCAGATTATCGTCAGAATCTCCACCTCGGACTATGGAACCTTTTGATTAAAATTTTAATTTTAAATTTTAGTTGAGCATCAAGTAGAGACAATCATACTTAAGCATGTCCCGCAAAATTTGGATTTTTGTTTATCCGAAGAGGGGTGCTATTAATCGAGATTACTAAAACATTAAGTTCGTACTAGATTGTTAAATGGGATCCACAATATGAGTTTTCCTTCCAGAAATTTCAAATGTGTTTTAAGTAATCCACCGTCCGATGAATAGAAAACATTTGAAGGTATAAACCACTACGCAGCGCATACTTAGACAATTTCAGTAACGTTTCACTATCAGCTCTGATGCGGCTCCAACTGTGACTGAATCGATGTTATGCAGCTTCTCAAATTCGCTCTTCGTTGTTATCCATTAGATGAATCACATTTAAACAAACCTCACTTCTTAAGAAATAAAAATGAACAATTTACTGGAAAACGGCGGGAAACTTCGAATCAGGATGAAAATGTCTCTAATTGCTGCGTAAAATAATTCCAGTCTCAACGATAACTTAGAATCGATCTGACAAATCCAGACAGATACTATTTTTCCCCTTATTTAGGAAACGAATTTGCTATCTCAATTGGCCTGTTATGGCAGCATCTGTGGTTGGCGGACTCTGAACTGGGATGGCACACGCTCGCAGGTGGATCGATAGCTTATCTAAACTTCGCGCGGCAACCGAACATGTAGCGCAGTCGTTCGGTCGATAATGTGCGTCGGTTGAATAAATCGATGCGGACGAGAGAAAGAAAAAACTGGTGTTCCGAAAATCACAAATCGGGTTGTAAAAGCGGAAGCTGGAAAGGCGGCACAAGGGCATATGAAATGCATAATTGCAACAAGTGACTACTTTGTGGTTCATGGACGCTTTCGACGATCCTTACTTTTTGGTACGAAAAAGCTCATTTACCTATCATGACTACGGAATCATGGAATCAGTGAGGTGCTCAGTCATTTCAATGGAGGCTGACCTCGAAAACAACCGCTCAAGGAAAACTTGGAATGATCCCTTAAAACATATTGAATGATATCGTTACAATTTTAAATTATCGTATTTGCGTGTTTAAAGGACGAGTGGCGGATAGGGAGATTGCTTAGAGCCAGCTTAGTCAATCCGCTGATAAAACTCCGTACCACCGTTTCAACTATAACCAGTACTTCTTTTTGCCGAACAATTGTCAAATTAATTTAGAACTATTTCTCGTTTAGACGGAGTTTTGTATCAGACAGTTGCGTAATGCCCGTCTCATTATCGCGCACGGCAACAATATCGGTAACCACTGCGCCAGCAACTATGACTACTGATCACTTAGGTCCCACCTTTTTCGGAGCGACCAACCGAAGGTTCTGCGGAATGGGACATAGCAACAAAACAATATGGCCGTTCTTCATCACGATCGGCTGGCCAGAGTTGGGTCACATGCATCAAAGAGTACGTTGCCAGATAATAACGCACACGGACATGTATTCGGACACCTCTCTCTCTCTCTCTCTCGCGCGCGCACACTTTAAACCGTTAGCAGATAATACTCGTAGAAAGTCTATTTCCGATTAGGGATGAGTCACATGGAATGAAGCACTTCATCCGGATCGTAGTAGTTGCTTGACCAAATGTTTCCGAAGCACTCTTCGAACTCTAAATGACCGGATATAGTCTGAGCCAGGCAGATAATGCATGCACCTGTGTGGTTATGCGTGTGAGAGACAGTCAAGATTGGCGGCGGATCCAAAGAACACCGATATCGTTTGTGTATGTGTGTGTGCATGTGCAAACGGGAACACGCAGCTACTAATGAACACGTACAGCTGAAGTGCAAGAGAAAACCAGTTTACACATGGCTAACTCTGTTTCATTTATATATGTATATATATGACGCGTATGGATCTCGGGCCGCCGACTCACTCCGAAATTTGCGTCTGTTGAACATGTCGCGTGCACACCTACGTCCTGTCGGTCATAAGCAAACTGGCCAGCACACAGCATAACGGGGGCACTCTTTGGGGACATGTGGGTGTTTTTAGGGGTGGGGGGCTGGAGACTGAAAGTTTAAATCAATTACACATGTGTGTGAGTTTGGTTGATGATCATTTTGATAAAGAAACAAAAACATTAGGGACGATGATATGATGATCATTACATAGATGATGGCAACTGGATTGATGAATCACCAAGATACACTATTGTTGCTTTCGCTTAATCTTTGTACACAGTATACCGGTCCACGGTTTCCGGGACTTGGATTTCAAGCAACGAGACTGTGGCGCTTATTGTGTTGGTATATCATAAACCCGCATGCTCACAGACAGACACACACACATATGTGTACCCGAAACAGGTGAATGTTTACTAATAAGCATTACACGCACACGCAAAAACAGCCCGAAATACGCGCGGGTATCCATTCAATGTGACTAAGCAGACAGGACACATACCGACTTCGCCTGAAAGCAAACCGCGAGAAATTGAGTAGGTCATGATTGTGCCAGTATTGAGCATGCACTTCAGATGCGGACGGGTGTGTGTGTATTTAGGTGCATTCGGGCGGTCAAACAGATTGGTGGGCGATAGTGCATGGCTCAGACCATACGGGCTGACAACCAAAATCAAATTTTCAAATACGGGATTATCCTTACTGGTAGAGGTTGTTTATTTGCCAAAGCACGGAGATGGTCACCAGATCTCTGCTCAGCAGCGGTTATGTTCTGACTGACATTTGTTTATCCAAATCCGTTTTCATTAATCCTAGTGCTGCATTGCCCAGATTTTACTTTTTCAACCACCTCTTGGCTCTTGGTTCAAATCCCGTTGTTTACTATGGCCTAGTAAATGTGATTTAATTTCCAATCTAGGCGATACTTTGAATTTAAGCATAAAGTAATACGTAATCATGGCAATCGGGATCAATCTAATGCTTTAACATTTACAAAACGGTATTCTCATTTTATTTTTTCATGCAAATTTGTAACAAAATAGTTATCTAAAATACTAGAACCACAAATGCAGTGACTGAAATTAGTTGAAAACACACGGTTTTGTCGCATGCAATTAAGGCTTGCTGAAGGGGATGGTTGGAGCTGCAATGTTCGCGAAATTTTGAAACCTCTAGGTAGCCCACAACGAGGAGCCCACTGACTCCCGTCCTTGAAGATACCAATTTAGGTTATCACTCCGTTTGGTGGGCAAATGTTTTATTTAGCTAAGACTTTTCCGGTTAGTCATTCAATTGGTTAAAAAACATCGACAATAAGTGAATTGCTACCCGAGACTCAAATTTATTTTTATTCGTTTGATAACTTCTCCTCGGAGTTCAGGAGACTAGCACTAATGTGCACAAGAAATAACACTGTCGGAAGATGAACTGAATTTACCCAAGCCTATTTTTTGTAACTTCTGCTATCGAATATTCACACTTCGGGCACATACGCTGACATAAATATTTGTGAACAGAATAGGTCAGAGTCGCAGTTGGTCTGTAAACTGTAGTCAACTTGGTTGAGTGATTTATAAACTGTTAAAAAGAAACGAACGACTGAAAAGTACGAAGTGGGTAGGGAGATCATGGGCCATGTTCTTGTGAATTCTGCTAACTTTTTCATAGTAAGATAAGTTACGTTTCCTACGTCAGTATCACGCAACACGGTAAGATTTATTGTCTAGAAGGGTTCGAGTCAAGTGTAACTGCAATGTTTTAATCAGTTTTCCTGCGACTAAAACGATGCGGTCGGCAGTCTAATTTCTGTCGCACCCGGCCGCTGTTAATTAGCCTTATCGTACGAGCTTCCACCTATTCTGAGGTACTAGATGAACAAATTCAAAATTTCCCTTCCTAATTCCATGCCCCGGTTTGGATGAAATGTTCTGAGACTAAAGTTTCGCATGTGTCGAATTCAGCCAGGGCGGTTAGTTCAGTTCAGTTGAAGTCTTACAACCATTCACCATGCACTTTCGTGCGCCGGTTTTCGTTGCTGTCTTTTGGTTGCCCATTTGGATAAAATAGTAGAATGAAGACTATAATGTTGAAAGCAAATTCCACTAAAACCATCTCGTCCTTTGACCTAAGTAATTCTCACGAAAGTACAAATAAACGAAAAGATTGCCAGTGACGAAATGAGGAAGTGGCGTTGAAATTAGTGCTTAGTATTGGTGTGTTGGTGAACGTTGCCCTAGAGTAGCGGCTATATGCTTGCGGGTAATCGGCTTTATTATTGGTCCTTTGAATAGATCGCTGTCCATGTTACCTTATAAAGTAATCAAATCAATCCTGTCAGTATTTTTGGCGATGGCAGTCATGCGAAAATTTTGTTCTTAACGGTCTGATACGGATATCTATTGAATTTCTCAAGCTCGTCCTTCACTGTTGTGTTGGAATGGACTTGACCGGCTTTAGATGTCAGGTATTGTATGAGATCCCCCTCGTACTTTATGGAATCATAGCTGAAGGTAGGTGTCTACTGACCGTTTCATGTTGGTCTCTAGTAGACGGAACGGCGTATTTTCTATCTACCTCCTTCTTCAACATTGCATCAGATAAATGAAATTTGTTTATCCAATTCGGTTGCAAAATTATTGGCATTTTAGGCTTGCTTAAAAGATTTGAATATTATATTGAGTAAAACATTTGATTAGAAGGGATAAAGATTTCGCCGACATAACGACAGCTGTTGCATGATGCCGTGTAGATATTTTTCCCAGTTTATAAACAATGATTACTGCTGGAAACTGGAACAATTGCGTCGCCTGGCTACAGTACCCGTCGCCTGTATATTTCTTTAGCAAATAGGAACTTGACGTTGCATCGTACATCGTGAGAGGAATTCCTTCAAAATCATCATTGCGATCCCCGTATGTATCTCATTTTATTCGGCATAAATCTGTCCCCTCACCAAATAGTGCAACGTCTAAGAACACGGCCTTACACCGAATTAGTCCAATGCACATTCTTTAGCTCACATACCTCGGATAAATTAAACAGATTTGAACATGTATTTCAGGCTATATTGAGGGCATTTTTTTCTCCTCGGGTTTCACTAACCATCGAGCGATTGAATGGTAAAAAGAATTTCTCACTTAGAACAATAATTGTAGCTGTGTTCCCGTCCGTCTGGTGAATTTTCGGCAGATAATACAGACGGGACACGTGGGTTTCTGTCCATACAAACTGTTTGTAGACAAGCCTCGATACAAGATTCTGGTTCCATGTAGCATTTAGGGAGCTGGTCAGCTGTTTCTCAAGCTCTTTGACTCATCAGTACAAACTCTCCTACCGTATCCAGTTTTGAAGTGACATACATTTTTGGGAACAGGTTTGTTCCCTCAAAACTGTTTTTATGTTACTAATTGGGTCAAATTAAATAATATTGATCTCATATTATTTTTTTTCTCTCCCCAGAATACATCCTACTTCAATATACATAAACAATAAGCAATACATCTCAGTGATTAATTGCAATAAAGGGAGAGGAGTTAGTTCCCCCCCCCCCCCCAAATGAAGAACAGGGAGATTCTCACACTGTTTACAGTTCACCCATAGTCAGAAATACCAACTGCACTTCAACCATGGAAGGGGAGCATTCAAGTCCTGGAATCCGGAGTGGCGAAACACTTTGAAGTCGAATAACTGGAGTGGGGTAAGGAGTCAGAGGATAAAGAGTATGCTTGCTAGACGATCTGAGTAACGGTGCCCGGGATGCAAACCACTCGACCATCAGTAAACGTACTGTTTCCAGTCAATACTCACACTACTCGTTGCTTCGATTCCAACGATCGCGTCGTTTACAACCTGACCCGAGAGCCGAATTTTGACTATCTAAAATGCATCAGTCCTACCTATTCACTCGGTAGGCCATTCAAAATCCTTCCAATTTCTTTCAATTATGACCTGCTCATTGTAATCTTATTTTTTCACGAACGGTGGGTCGGCACAAATTGAGGTACTGCTCAACATCATTATGTTCAATGAAATTCCAGCTCATCCGTTTACATGTGAATCACGTGAGTGCATGTGTGTGTGTCCTCAACTGATCGGCCTAAACGAAACGAATCAGATGTAGGTATATTCGATGAACAGTCTTAATGTGTTCTGCTCAGTTAGATTGAGTTATGTAAAAGACGCATTATCGACTCCGTACACATACACTTCTCCCCTCCTCCTCAAAACAGTTCGTGGTGCACACAGGAACGATCGATTTCCAAGAACCATTCTGGAGCAACTTCGAGGACCATTGAAATGATTTATATATGTATATCGAGGAGACATGTGAAATCCTCTCTCTTTGTGTGTGTGCCATATCGGACGATAATCGGATGCAGCAATGAAAAACGAATTGGGTCACCATAACAGCACCAGAGCATCCTGTGATCGGTATCCCCATGTGGGAGTTAATTTGAAACCTGTTTAGAGGTACAAATGAGTCAAACCAATTGCGCATCTAACAAACAAAAGGTGTCTGTTACGAGATAAGGCACTACTAGCGCTGTCTCCAATTTCAACTTTAACGACAGAAATCCAAAACGAAGACCGAGCAGAAATAGTGCGTTCTACTGTATGCTATGATTTGGCAACCTATAAAATGGGTGAACTTCATTGTGGGCACAAGGTTTAGATACATAGGAGCATCGGACGCCATGTACCTTCAGATTTGGAGTAACGTAATGATTGGAATCCGAAGCAGTTTCGCAACCGGAGCAACGTCATTTGGTTCAGATCCACTGAGGTGTTTGTGCTGATATTCTGCAGCACTTCATGATGGTAAAACAATCAATAAGTTCTCAGGAACACGCAAAGCATTGTCTATGTAGACGAAAAGGCCCACAAACGGTGGGCTGTGAACGAACAAAACTCCACAGTCAAAACTATCACTTCTCGAAGGGTATCGAAAAACATAGTTTTGCTATGTTGGCATGAAGAAATCAATAAGTATATGCATACAAATTATCGACCAGTTGACAAACGTTATGGTCTTTACTCGGTCGATGCTTTTTGAAGACTTTCTGTCCATCCGCAAGAATGGATGCAAAGTAATTTGTTCAAATTTTGAAAATCTCCGTTCAGTTCCGTGGGATTCAAACCCACGTATGGACACCAACGCGTTAGTACAGCGCACGCTCTGCCAGCCGAACTTATGACCAACGGCACTGATCTTTTCACATTTGGATTGCTCATCCAGCTTACAGAGGTGTATGGAATCCAAAATGGCGTAGGCGGTGTTCACGTGGGAGTTTAAAACCCATTGAGATTGCTGGGTTTTTCACAATTTGGACAAAATACGTCAATCTGATAAATAACCTTATTTGTGCAAAGTATTTGTTATTCCCTCTATGACGAAAACAATATTGAGCAGGTCTCCTAATTTATCCTTTTTCAGTTAAAAACCTTCACAAAGGTGATTTAACAACGATTACGAGGTGGATAGATTGGACACATGCATAAATCGAGATCCCCATTGATTATCAGAGCTTGCGAGACAGTGTGTTTGTGTCTGTGCCCGAGCGAAACAACATCTTCGTTGTGATAAAACAGTCAATGTAATCAGTGACGGATTGATTTTCAGTGCTACGCGATCTTGCGGAAAATAATCGACCTTACGGTAGACTGCTCTTTTCGTTCAGGTGAACGATCAACTATCAGTGATGTGGCCCTGTAGCCGTAATCCCTTGGGAGAATGAATGATCAAATCAACACAAATAAAGGAACAATCGGAATACCTGGTAGTCATCCGCTTTTGTTGAGTACGCTTCATGTCTGTGCCGTACAACTCCACCGGAACCTGTAATACCACCGGACACATCACCGAACGATACTCCAGCACTGATATCTGACTCGCCAGGGCTACCGCTTGCGCTATCACCACCCGCAGCCCCGGCTGCGCCTGCTGCCGCCGCCGCAGTAGAACTTCCAGTGTCTTGATTCACAGTGATACCTAGAACGATTCATCCATACAAAAATACAGAATAGGATATAAACTGTGGCAAAAAACCATAGTGTATGCAGCAACTTGAAAGGAAAACAGGAAAACACACGTTACAGTGCATTGGCACAAAACTAATGGTACGTTAGTGAAATCTGACTGAAAACTCCAGAGAAAACAGGAACCAAGCAATTGCATTTGGTGCATGAAAGTATAGGGTGAGTTAATCCAATTTTATGAAGCGAATTCGTCGTGTAAATAGTAAATGAAGCGTGAACTGAAAAGCTAGGAAGCAGTGGACAGCTGTTCTGATCTAGTTGGGTCTCATCAGCAGTGCGAATCTATCGGCACAAATGGGGATTGAACCCGGGATCTCAGACGCAGAACGCAAGCATACTACCCACTCGGCCACCAGACTACTGATCAGGCCGTTTCTCACTTTCCATTTACACGATATAGCACAACCCGCCATTGCGACCTTGTTGTGGATATCGCGCTTCACTCATCTCAGCACAAGCTTCCAGGGTTATGACTTGGTTGGAAGCTTTCACAGCCTGATAACTTGTTGCACGTGTAAATGGAAAATGAAAAGTGGTCTGATCACATTCTGGTGCTGCAACTGAGGTTCCGAGTTTGATCCCCAGTTAGGTTGATGGATTCTCACTGCTGATGAGACCCAACAAGGTCAAAACAGCTGTTCAATGCTTCCTAGCTTTTCATTTCGCCCTTTATTTACTCTACACATAGCGAACTCCCACTAAGGAATTGCATTTGAATAAAATAAGAAATATTCGTTTGTATGGAAGGATGGAGAACTCCAGGTGGTTAACACAGATGCAACAATAAAAGCATTACTCGTTAGTGACTGACTGTATTCTTTGCAACTTGATAAGGGACGAGTGCAGACAAGGGTGGAGAGAACAAGTCATCCTCAAAGTTCACCGCATACACACACACTAAATACCAGTCTCGTTCAACTCAACCAGAAAACAAGGCAAGGTATTCGCCTTCTCTGTGGGCAGAAGAGAAAACATTCTAATACCTCTGTGGATGTCAACAGCCTCAACGCCGCTTTCATCCACCCGTCAAACGAGAGCCAGATTCCCTCATTCCTATGCATTGAATCCAGTTCAGTGCCTTTCTCCAATGATGTAATCTTTGAGCTTCTTCGATCCTGCAAAGCATCTTCAGCTGCAGGCCCTGATGGTTTTCCTCCGGCAATTCTGAAATTTGGAGCAGCTTCCCTAACCAATATGATGACATCCATTGTCAATCAGTCCCTATCTTCCCGGTCGATTCCTCATTCTTGGCGTCCAGTGACCATTATTCCGATCCCCAAATCCACGTCCTCAACTGTTCTTGCGAAACGGTTTTGTCCTATCACGTTGACCTCAGCGGCTCCAAAGGTAACTGAAAAAGCCATCCTGATTCGGTTGCAGTCAGACACCACAATTCCCCACGACATCCTTCAGTTTGCATATAAACCAAACAGATCTACATTGGACGCCATATCCACTTTAGTGCATTTTATCAGCAAGTCATTGAACCATTCGGTCAAGTCTGTCCGTTGTGTTTTTCTTGACTATTCGTCTGCGTTTGATTCTGCTTCCCGATCATCTCTTCTTTTCAAACTTGAATCTTTTGACACTCCAAGAAAACTGCTCTCATGGCTTACCGAATATCGCACACAGAGACTCCAGTGCATCAAATTAGGAAGGAAGGCATCAAAACCTCTTGTTAATAATTCTGGTGTTCTTCAAGGTGCCGTTCTATCTCCACATCTTTTTTCTGCCTTTATTAGTGATCTTTCTGTCCCACCCCCTGCGCAAATCCCAAAGTATGCTGATGACGTTTTGTCTCAGACAGTTTCATCTCCCTCGGACTTTCATTCTTTTACTGAAAACCTATCCCACATCCAACAATTTTCTGACCAATCTGGTCTCAGTCTTAAAATATTTAAGTGCGTAGAGTGTATTTTCAGTCTTTCCCGCTCCTCGTTTCCAACGGACTCTGCTACCCTTAACGATAAATCTGTATCTAGAAGGACCTTAGTGAAGTACCTGGGTGTCACCATCGACAGCAATCTTCGTTGGTATACACATATTTACAACTGTGTGGGAAAACTAAGAAGCCTATCTTTTCAGTTACGCAAACTGAGGCACTTCCGAACCCAACAATCAGTCCTGTCATCTTTCGTTCATCAATACGTTTTACCCAGTCTACTTTATTGCTCCCCTGTAATGTTTCCCGGCCTTTTAAAACACGACTTCAAAACAATCCGCCGTGGTTTGGTGATAATCAGTCGTGAATAGCTGATTTAATAATCACAGATCTCATTGATGGTTACATCAACTCTTGTATTAAATTTGCTCACAAGATTCTAGACGGTCCTCATCTTCCACTACACCCTGATCTTTCGTCTTGTCGTTCCCATCTGTCCACACGCTCCTCATTTCGACAGCTACCCTCTCGCATAAACATTTATAAAAATTCCCTTGTACCCTACTTGACCCGACTACTCACCAAAAAGGAACAGGTATCCAATGAAGTACGTCAGATGTTTTGTACATGAAACGTATACCACCGACATTCTCTACCTTTCGTTTTATTATTTTATTTCATTCTGCGTGATGAACAGTGTACATTTTTAACTGAAATGTACGCATATATACTTACACAAGTTACACAAATACAAAAATACAAAACAGAATTGGAAAAGTTGTCCGGTAAGTCCCACTACGCTTTGGAAAGGAAGGTCAGGACAATCTTACGAAGCGCTGTTTCCTTCTTTTAAACTTACAGCACACATTGTCACGTCAAACAGCACGCTGTTCTTATCCTTGGCCTTTCATCTGTTTTATGATTTATTGCTTGCTGTGCTTCTTTCTTATCCATGTCTTTGGCACAAATGAGCTGCCATCATATTCTCTCATCTACATGACGGTAAGACTCTGTCTTACCTGTCAGATATAAAGCATGGCCTGTATCTCATCAAGAATATGGCTTTTATTGCAGTTTGCTTTCGTCCGCGTGTACTTCAGCGGTACAAAATCCTCATCTCCACTGACATAATCATTATCTTCACCATTCCCATCACCACCATGATCGTTATCAAAGGCTTGTGTTTTGTTTCAAATCAATTTGTTCGGCAGTCACACATATATCTGTTCCTTTGATCGATCGTGCTCATCTGTACACGAGTGATAATTTGAATGAAAGGTGGTGACAATGGGCTCACTTGAGTCATGGTGCCAAAGTGATCAGTTGAAATGAAATAAATTGATAGAACAAGAACACAAAAGCACAAACACGTGGGTTCCACTCTGTTTTGTAGCACCTTTCCAGCATGTCCGACTATGAACCACGTCTTGGTCATGAAAAAACCGAAACGCACTCAGTTGGAAAACTTCATGCATCAAGTTTCACTTGTTATCACTACGAGGGTGCAAGGGGGTGAATAGAGAGGGCTCCACGAATGTGCATACAGAGGGTTCATTCTATCAGAATAGCTTTGGACAAAGTAGCCATGATATGCCAAGTTATCACACCACTGATCTAAGTCCTAACCACCCACACTGTTTTAAAACAGATCACCTTTGATCCGACAGACGAGATTTACGATATACTACACGTGAATGATGATTAGTGTGATGCAACTTTGTCGTATTCGTCAAATAAACCGAAAGTTACTCCTAGTTCTCAATTGTATTACCTGTAATCGATTTGCAGATAAATCAAGCGGTGGTTACTTTCGAGGAAGACATAATGGTGAGCACGGATGACTACTGGTAGGCAACAAGATAATTATTGATGTACCAGATTATGTTGATCGGATAGTGACAAGTGACAATCAGTGACAATCCATGTGAGTATATCACAATTTTATGCAGATATCTGCACCTTTCGATCAAATTCAAGGCTACGAGATGAACTTTTGAGGAGCTAAGATTTCTTAGAAATAATTATTCATACATACATAGATACATATACATATACTGCACATCAACTGGTGCTCATGGATAGTTCATAATTCAGCCAAGTCGATCGAATTATGAACCTCTACTCCTTAACTCGGAATCGGGATCGTTATTTCACCTCAATCTTTTTCCGAAATACACCATGATTGATTGCTAACCCCTTACAGGAAAATGAATTCACATTTACTCCACAACTATTGGAGAGATTGAAGTAAACAGCGCTACTTGACAATTTGTTTTGGTTGGTCTTCACTGATGGTTGTGGCCGACCTATAACCCTGGATTTCACCAATAGTTAACAGAAACAATTCTAATTTGGAAGTAGACAGATGATATTTTGCCCAGATTGAACGATGATAACTGGAATGTCTCTTTCCCATTGAATTTTCGCACACCGACGTCAGACAGACAAAAGCGACGATAAATGGCCGGTATCAGAATCTGAATTTCTTTAGTTTATACGAGTGACCTACTGAAACGGGTTCCTCAACACTTCATTAACAACAAGTGCACCCCAGGATCGTTGAACGAATTAACTTGATCCTCATGACCGCCGCACCAAAAGTTTGCCTTACAGAATCTCCCGGTACGCGACAATCTTACTCATACTCGAGGACAGGTCTTGCAATATAGGCATCCCGAACAGGATAGATTGTACTGTTGATGAAACAGAATCCTCAACTGTTGACTTAAGTTATATTTTTATCTCGATAAAAGTACGTGTGTAACATGAAACTACCTAAACGGGCCAGTAGCAAATCTATCTTCTAATCCAAATCACTAAGTGATGCACACATCATTAGAAAGCCTTAGAAGCACTTTGTCATAGTTCTGTATTACTGTATAGGAATTAACAGCAGCTCAAGTTGATCAATCTGGTGACCAGTTTAATGCAAGAATCTAGGATTACAGGTTAAAGTCAAGCTACTTTGATCAAGTTCATGTCGATAACGTGGGAATATGAAAAAAAACATTTCGAAGTAGCTATCACCGGATAAGTGTGTATTGCCAACGTCTACAAACCTGTGCTGTTCTACCGCAACAAATTACTGGTTATTTCATCATACTTACAAACATTGAACATGATAAAGTGAAGCGTGGGACAGATCGTCAAATCTGGTTTTTCCTTGTGTCACATTTACATTCCCTTGATTCCAGGTTGGAGTATTTATTTTCATAGTTTATAGTTTGCATACAAGGAATTTGGTGCTATCACCAGCGTCACGGATCGCATTTCCCTCCCCGATCCCCTCGAATCTCAATGTGAGCCTCAAACTCTCACGTTTTCATTATCGTTTGCCCCCGTTCTGTACCAGATTTGCTTACCCTGGTGTAGAATTTTAAATAACAGAAACTAGCACGTGGTTTTTCCACACCACTCTAATTCACCTTTAGCCAAAGCCAACTGGCTCGTTCCTAGATTCGTCATGTTCTTCTGTTCACACAGTGATTCTTTTTCGACTGATTTCACTTATTTTGTCGGGTAGGGAACATAATGCTTGCATGGGTATCATGAGAATCAGCAAACGGTGTCCGTGTCGGTCACCAGTGGCGTCCACACACGAAAAGCTATCAGGATTACGGAGAAACTATTTTGTTTTGTCGGTCCTAATTAATAATTTTACTTTCACTTTATTCATGGGACAGACAATTGTTCAGTTGATTATTTAAAGAGGCTGCGGTCGGTTAAAGGCTGCTCAGGATGCACAGAACTGAGGAAGATGGACGGTGGGATGTGAACTCTACCGCCAGGCCGATCGGTTGTTGATGTACTGTTCGTGCTCGTCGTCACAGAAACATCACTGCTATTGCCATTGCTAAGCCACACAGCTTGACCACTGCCAACACAGTCTCTATCTAACAACCAATATTTGTCAAGAAACAGTGTCCGATTTTACCTGTGAATATGGCAAACAAAGACAACTACTGTCCTACACTTCAATCGTAACTAACCGGTTTATTCTGCCCAATTTTCACTAAGATGATCGTTTCACGTCAAACACATTACACTTCAGTAGACCTGAATTCCAAATCTTAACCCGATACCGTAAACTCGGGCTTTACGAAAATTCTGCTTCCAGTTGTGTGCATAGGGCCAACATATCTAAATCTCTTTCGACGATTGTGAAGTTCTTTTACACAAACACCTGTTTCAATCGTCTATCACTATCTCTATCATGGTCGAAGTTCATGTCACGTCTGTCACGGTCAGCGTCACTCGTGGCTGTTCTGCTCTTTTTTCTTGTGATGTTGCACTCACACAATGATTGTGTGGTCTCTCGGGCAGACCTTGGGGTTTATCATCACTCTCAGGTGGTTGGCTGACTGGCTGGTTGGTTGGCTTATAGACTACGATTCAGCACTGTCTGATAGTGGCCGATACATGACGTGGCTCGTTTTCACTTCAGGTTGCTAGAAATGAATCACTCATTCCATTAACAGAGCAAAGCATAGTAATCTTGCCACTGTGTGCCAAACACTAATAACAACGAATACGTGCGGTTTTAAAGATGGAAAGAAATACATTTTATGAGTGAATATTTAGGGGCGGCACACTTTGTGCCAAAACAGTGAACGGATTTTGGCATCACGTTTGGTTATTCTGGTTGATCAGTGTCGATTTAGTCGTAAAATCGTCATTTCGGTTGGGAGGCCAGAGTTTATGCAACCCTTTTACTTGGTCTAGACTTGACAGATGTTGCCAAACTTTCCGCGTGACTGTTAATTGATTCCAAGATAGGAAAAATGCAAGTAAACTTCTCCTTGTTTAAGACCCAAATAGGGTAACTAAATGTAGCGTTACTTCGCCGGCGAGCCTCTAGGCCTTAGCCCAAAACCAACAGTTTGTCTTTCCTTTTCATATATCATTGTTGATAACAATCTAGAAGCGGGTTGCATTAAAGACTTGTTGCATAAAATCCTTGTGGATAAAAGGCTCCCTAAAGGCACCACAAATAGTCAAATAGTCGGGCGGTGGTGGCCCGGTAGTAACGTCACCAAATTATCACCTCGGGGACGTGGGTTCGAACCCCACTACCAACGCCTGACTTTCCAATTGTGTGTTGAATGACAGCCCTTTGATTGGCCGCTTCCCCCTTCCTGAAAATTGTATCATTATGTATTCAATAAAAGGAAGTAAAATTAAAAAGAAAAGAAAGAATATAATAGGTTCGTTGTTTCCCAGATCACAAGGAAGTACCACGTGGGTTTTCCTAAAACAGATTATCGTTATGGCAATCTCACGCAATGCGTTCACTGCCTCGAAAACGCGATCTGTTCTCTACATAGCGACATTGTGTTAATTGATAGATGAGCCTGAATGGAGAGCAAAGCTGGGCGGATCAATTGACAGTCAGTACTCCTCGTTTTTTATATTCAATTTTCAGTGGGTTCTTACGTGGAATATCACTAAAAGTCTTAGCTAATAGACTCCCAGTTCCCATCTACAAACAGTTAGTCTTCTTAACTATAGGATTCAGTCTTTCTGGTCATGGCAAAGTGTTGTGTACCAAAATTTTTAAGGAGCTCTGCCTGTAGAAGTTTAACTTGCTAAGCTTTGTGCAATCAGATATGAATAGAACAGTTTTAATCACCACGCTCACCATCGAATTCTCACTATTGTCTCGTTACTATAGTGACCGTAATCGGACAGAGCTGTGTATCATTGTCATACAGACAAAAGAAGTTTGATCACGTGATAACAACACGAGAAAATAAATGTGTACAAGATACCCATTTTTAAAATGACTAACAAGTAAGCGGTTAGTCCCAAAATCAAAAAACATCAGTTACAACTTACCACCACCGCCAGTGGTACCAGTGGTACCAGCTGCACCTGCAGCCGAAGCGGGTTTCTTGTAAATGACTGATAATTCTAGTGTCGACTGAAAAAAAGTATATAGTTGCGTTATTCAATAATTATACATTTTAATAAATGATCCACACATTAAACAGTTCGTGATAAATCTGCCTTCAGACCCCGGATTCATTAACAAATTTAACACTTTTCATGAGAAAATAATAAACTGTGGACTAANNTGGAACCTTATGTGTCAAACCCGATAGAATAGTTCATAATCCAGATTATTTGATAGCAAAGATGTACTTCATCTGTTAAGGAACCAATAGAATTTACCGATAAAAATACTCATGAAAAATTCATCCTGAAAATTGTCGATCGTCAAGTTAAAATACAATGCCAGATCTTCGATCCGGTAACTATGGTTATCCAAGTGAAAAGCAGACCCTCGTTATACGCATTCGATTTGTCGCAAGCGAAGTTTGTCCACTCTGAAAACGGGACGCTTGGAGAAAGCTAGGGATGCGTTTGATGACGCTGTACTGTATGTGTATCCAATGGATGCAAATCGGTATCGTCAATCAGACTCCATTCGGTTTGGTCTGAAATAAAACCCAACCACTGGACTGAATTCCTGTCAATGGTCGCTGATTGACTGGGAACATTGCTGTGTTATAATTGTTTGTTTTGTCTCCTTCACACAGCCGGATAATATTCCTTCCGCCGGGCAGTGTGTGTGTATGTTTCAGTCACATTGACATTTTCACCATGTTCCACTATCCGGTTAGATTGACCAGAGAACCAAGTGTTCAATTAGGTAGTATATGTCGATTTTATGCCATAAACGCGCCATATATATATATATATATATATATATATATATATATATATATATAT